AGGTCATGTTGAACGGTTACACACGCATGGTAGTCCACAGGACAGCCTGCGACAGTTCCCGGACTGTTCTTTCGGCAGCTATTCATACGGCACCCTCAAGGAGAGCCTTGCCGCCAAAACGCTAGAAGGAGGGATGGACGCTGGGACATCTGGTAAAACTGGGCTTAGCAGATCCCTCAGCCCTCTCTTGGACTCCGCTGGTCCAGTAGGCGATCTAGGCCCTCGTGAGCCGGCACCTCTTCAGAAGGCGTAGATGTGCACTCGGCACACGAGTTGCGCCGTCCCCTGTGTCGCTTGGACTGAGGCACGAGGCGCCGTCGTGCTCGACTGCGTCGCCCCAGGAGTCCGCCCCCTCCCGCCGCTCCTTCGCCCCGAGTTGGCGCAGAGCTTCGCCGGCGATGCACGAGCAGACCGCTCCTCCGCCGAGTGCCGCCGCTCCCCCCTCTCAGGGGCAGCCGTGGGGGAGGGAGCCAGCTCGGGCTGGACTCGGCGGTGCAGCGCCGACGGGCCGGCGATGGGCCCCCGAGCACGGAAAGGCATGCGCTGTTGGGCGGGGCGGGCTTTCCGAGCCCCCACGTCGGCGATCCGTGGGCGATTGGGAGTCGTTCCCTGCTGTGGCCTATCCCCCCGTGGACGCGACGGCACGACGTCGACGTCGACGACGACGACGGCGACGACGGCGACGGCGACGACGATGACGACGACGGCGACGACGGCGACGACGACGGCGACGACGACGACGACGACGGTGACGGCGGCGACGACGACGACGACGACGACGGCGACGACGACGACGACGACAACGACGACTACGACGACGACGACGATGACGATGACGACGGCGGCGACGACGACGACGACGGCGATGACGGCGATGGCGACGGCGGCGGCGGCGACGACGACGGCGGCGACAACCCCTGACCCCCCGGTCAGGTTAGCAGCCTGAAGCACGAGCGGGCCTTCTCCCTCGGCTGGCGCGTGGGGGACGTCATCCTGGAGGCCCCCCGCCCAGCCAGCCGCGGACGCCCCGCTTCCCCCGGCCGCCCCCCCCCCCACCGGGCCGCCCCCGCGGGAGGGCGGCGAGGGCCGCGCCTGCATCCTCCCGCCCATCCTCCCCCCATCCTCTATATCCCTCCATCCCCCATCTATCCCTCCATCTTCCCTCCGTCTCCACCCTCCGAGTATCCCTCCCGCCATCTTCCAGGCCTCCCTCCGTCCTCCCTCCCTTCATCCCATCCTGCCTCCGCCAAGCCTCCCTTCCGCTCCCATCCTCGAATCCTCCCTCCCTCCACGCCACCCGCGCTTGCGGGGCCCATTTCGATCCGATCGTTCCGATTCGATCTATCGATTTCGGCCAGCGCGGTCCGCTTCGATTCCGGATATGATGAGCGCGCGGGGCCGCGCCCTAGCCGCCGAAACGTCGAAGATGACAAAGCGTCGGCGTCGCCCTTGGGATTCGTTTAGTTTTTGAGATGTAGATTCAAGCGCGCAATTTACGCCAACCTAAAACAATGGTTTTCAAACAAAACGCACACAGGGGAAGGGAATCGCAGAAATCACAGAACTAGCCTGAATGCAATCCGCGAAGAAGGGCACTGGTACGGAGTCCGCGGCGTCGCTGCAGTTTCACAGCGTCGTCGCGCGAAATCTAAAGGTCCACGCTGCCTAGCTCATCCAGCGGGGGGAGGGGGGGGGCAGAGCCTTTTTCAGATGCACGCCACGAAAAAGTGTGTTTCTTTGCGTTTGGGAAGTGCACGCAATTCAGGTGGTAGGTAGACAAAAAAAAACTGCGCGGGAACTTGAACGGATTTTTGTTTATGGGGTTTCAGCCCGTGCACACCGAAAACCATAATACATAGTGGGAATGAACATCCGTAGTTTGTTACGGTACGCATAAATTTGCATATCAGTAGCTGTTCGTGCCAAATGCTTCCGACATGACGGATCGAAACAAAGGTTCCTTCGAGCTCGTTTCAGGAAGCGTGTCCCGTCGCTTCCGTTGCCAAGAAAACTTAACCCACGCTGTTGATGGCGCTTGTCCTTCCGAATTTGTGCATGCATGCGCTGGTGGTCGCCGAACCCGCGCATGCGCCGGCGCGCGGCCCGGGCCGGGACCTCTCCGGAATTCGGGCCGCGTACTGCCGCTTCCTTCCTTTTAACAAATGTATATGTTCGTAGTATGTGATCTAAGCGCCCAGAAATCCATGGATGCCCTTCAGGGTAAACCAGTGATTTTCCAGAAATGCATTGAAAACCTTGGGCGATCTGAAACATTAATTTTACATTGGGTTTTTCTCATTGGGTTTTCGGGTTAACATGCGTTTTCTGTGGTTTTTCGAAATCGATTGGGAACCTTTGGCGATTTGAAACATTAATTTTACATTGGGTTTTTCTCATTGGGTTTTCGGGTTAACATGCGTTTTCTGTGCTTTTTCGAAATCGATTGGAAACTTTTGACGATCTGATACATGAATTTTACATTGGGTTTTTCTCATTGGGTTTTCGGGTTGACATGCTTTCTCCATGGCTTTTCGAAATCGATTGAAAACGTTGGAGGATCTGAAACATGATTTTGTGCATTGGGTTTGTTTCATGTGGTTTTCGGGCTAACATGTGTTTCCTGTTGTTGTTGTTTTTTCCATTACAAATCGCTTGAATGTTTGTTTGATGGAATTGCTTCGCATATCGCACGCGCGTGACACATGCGTTGAACTGGTTCGTTCCGCAGCGCGCGTTGCGCGTCTTTCACGTCGGTGCATCGCCGACGCAAACGAACTTCCGCTGATCATTGATAATTCAGTTCAGGAGACTGCCGACCCGCCGATGCCGCGCATGCGCCGGCGCGCGGCCCGGGCCGGGACCTCTCCGGAATTCGGGCCGCGTACTGCCGCTTCCTTCCTTTTGACAAATGTATATGTTCGTAGTATGTGATCTAAGCGCCCAGAAATCCATGGATGCCCTTCAGGGTAAACCAGTGGTTTTCCAGAAATGCATTGAAAACCTTGGGCGATCTGAAACATTAATTTTACATTGGGTTTTTCTCATTGGGTTTTCGGGTTAACATGCATTTTCTGTGGTTTTTCGAAATCGATTGGAAACCTTGGGCGGTTTAAAATATGAAATTTACATTGGGTTTTTCTCATTGGGTTTTCGGGCTAACACGTCGTATGTATTGTTCACAATAGAAAAATCTACATGTAATTCCAGAAACTGAATTTGAAATTTCTGTGGCTCTTCAAGGAGGCCAACGGTGACACGGGTCACCCGCGCGTGCGGGTGTGACCATGGTCGCCCGCGCGCGTTGGAGTATTGTATTGTCTACAGTAGAGAAGTATACATGTAATTCTAGAAACTGAATTTGAAATTTCTGTGTCTCTTTAAGGAGGCCGACGGTGACACGGGTCACCCGCGCGCGCGGGTGACCATGGTCACCCGCGCGCGCGTTGGAGTATTGTATTGTCCACAATAGAAAAGTCTACATCTATTTCCAGAAACTGAATTTGAAATTTCTGTGGCTCTTTAAGGAGGCCGACGCCAACCGACACGCGTCACCCGCGCGTGCGTGTGACCATGATCACCCGCGCGCGCGTTGAGTATTGTATTGTCCACAATAGATACGTCTACATGTAATTCTAGAAAATGAATTTGAAATTTCTGTGGCTCTTTAAGGAGGCCGAAGGTGGTCACCCGCGCGTGCGGGTGACCATGGTCACCCGCGCGCGCGTTGGAGTATTGTATAGTCGACAATAGAACACTCTACCTTGAAAACCTTGCACGATCTGAAACATGAATTTCACATTATGTTTTTTTTTTTTTTTTTTTTTTTTTTTTTTTTTTTTTTTTTTTTTTTTTTTTTTTTTTTTTATGATTGGGTCTTCGGGTTTACATGAGTTTTTTTCTTTTCTTTTTTCCACATCGATTTAACGCATTGGGCGATTTGAAACTTGAATTTTGCATTGGGTTTTTCTCATTTGGTTTTCAAGTTAACATGTTTTCGTGTTGTTTCGGAACTCACATAGACACGTTTACCGATGTGAAACATTGGATTATCCTCATTGCAAGGAATTGCTACCCCCCCCCCCTAAGAGGTGTTTTGTTTTTTGGCGGACAAATGTTTGGATGGGTGCTCACGTGGCACGCGTGAGCGGTGCCGCGCGGTGCGCACGGGAATCAGGGGCGTGCTGTTAGTGTGGTGCCGCGTGGTGCGATCGGTGATGCAGCGTGCCGTGCGGTGAATGCCTTGCCGTGGTGTCGCGGCGCGGTGGTGCGGTGCGTGCCGTGCCGCGGGGCCGCGAGCGTGGTGCGGTGCGGTGATGTGTGGTGCCGCGGCGCCACTCTGTGCGCGAGGTGCCGTGGGGTGCGTGCCGTGCCGTGGTTGCAGGGGGCCGCATCGCGTTGCTCGGTGCCGCGCGACACGCGCGGGGTGCCGCGCGGCGCTTGCGGCCCAGCCATTTGGGCTGCAAGGTTTTTGAGAGGAGCGCCAGATGATCCCAGCGCCCCCCGTTGTTCCTCCAGCGGCTCGGCGCGACCTCCGCGACCGCCGCCGCTTCAAGCTGCCATGCGCGATCCTCCTGTGGAGCCGCCCAGGCATCGAGCGGCGCAGCCGGATGAAGCGCGGCCGCGAGGTGCCTCCCACTTTGCGCGCCGTGGCTTCTCCGAACCAGAACCCGAAGTATTCGCAGGAGGACCGCGGGGTTAAAGTCCCGACGTCCTCGCGCGCCCAGGGGGGGGAGGGGAGGGTGACGACGGCGACGATGAGGGGGGCGAGGGGCGACGAGGGGGGATGGCGGGGCAAATGGAGAGGTGGGCGAGGGGGATGTCGGAGGTCCGAGGTCGGAGACGAGGGGAGGGCGATGAGGAGCACGGCGATAGGGACGGCGAGGGCGACGAGGACGAGGAGGATGAGAAAGAGACGTTTGAGGGGGCCCCGACTTGCCCCATTTGCCCCACTCGTCAAAAATGCACCCTTGCCCCACTTGGTCCAAGTGGGGCAAGTGGGGCACTTCGCCCTGCAATCTCCTCCTGGGCCCTCTCCCTTACCACCCCTCGCCCTCGGACCTCGGGCCCCCTCTGACCTCCGACAAACCTTCCTTATCATTTTTTTTGGTATCTGGGCGCCCCCAGGATTCGCGAGTGCAAGATTGGTGGTTGAAGATCAGCAGCAGGGGCATGACTCGCGTGCATTTGTCTGGTTCCTACGTTACTTGGTTCTGCGATTGGATATCTTCCCCGATTGGCATGCCAATAGATCTGGAGGCTGATCATTTCCAGGGGCAGCCCACGATGACGAACTTCTTGGCCAACGGTGCGCTGGATGGGGAGATTGGCAATTCGCAGTGGTCCAGGGGCGCTCTGAAAGACATCGTGGCGAACCATGAGAGCGTCGTCTTGTTCTTAGTGCCTGACGACCTCATTGCCAATCTCATCAACCGGGGCGGCCACTTCTTCGTGACGCCAGCGTCGTACGCAGAGCGGCACCATCTCGAGATCATCGAGGGCGTCTTAGGTACCGCCACGCCCGAGGTGAGCGACGCTGGCCTCAGCGACGCCGATGACGGAGTTGCGCGGCCACGAGATTACAAGCCTGCTCGCGCGGGGGCTGCTTTGACCGTGCACGTGGCCAGACTTTGTTTGGAGATGGATTGTTGGAGAAGTAATCTGAAGCGAATTCTTGAGTTGGCCGCCAGGATCGTCAACCCTGGTTTCAATGTCGACGAGTTGACCTTGCCTGCGCCATCGTCCATTCGGAACGCCATTATCAAATTGGACATGCTAGTCATGCTTCGTAGGAGGGTCGTCCACATGCAGCCCAATGTGCAACACGTCAGGTTCCTGTGCCCAGATTCCAGCCCACAGGGGTCCTATGACTTCTTCAACTGCATTGAAGAGACGCTGACCAGACCACTGCCGTGGTACGTGAACACCGCCACTGATCCATTCAAGTCAGGATATTTCTCTTGGAGCCGCCGACAGATGCCCGTGATGACCATCGGGCGTGG